CACGTTCGAAAAGTGCAAACAGCATCGATGAGTCGAGAACGTCTGGGCTGAATGCTGAGATGTGTCCTGTCGTATCTCCACCTTCCTGCCCCACCCTGTCAGGATCTGAGTGCCCTGGCCAGCAGCACCACAGTGTTGGTGTTCAGGGAGGTGCACCCTGACGCCCTGCCGCTCTTTCCTGACTGCCCCACACCATTCCTTCGCTCGCCATGACTGGCGAGCCGCTTTGGATGTTACTGGTTGCCAATGGGTTTGGCATCATTATAAATTGTCGTATGCGGCACTGGAGTAGTTCCACCCGGCTAATTTCAGTCGCACGTGTAATTGCCTACATTGTCTATTGCAACTACAACTACCGTACAATATGTGCCAGTTTATTACTCTAATACGGTATCATGATTAGGTTTAGGACAGAACGGCTAAGTCCACAAAACACACATCCATGGCATGTTCAAGAGCAATGTCACTAAGGGTACATTCCTGTGGGGACACTTGTGTCTCAATCCCCGTTTTCCCGAGTCGCGCCTGTTAATTTTCCCAATGTTGTGTCACAAACATCGAATGTACCGCGATGTAGGGCGACATATTGGCAGGTTCAGTTGGACACGTTTCACTGGCGGGGATCAAAAAGAGATGTACAGGTGTGTGCATTTGACTGGGTGACAGTACACCCGTATTTTCAACCTCCGAGCAGGGGCGTGGTTTCGATGCGCGGGATCTTTTCCCTCGCAAAATTGGCATTTTCGGATGTCCAGGTGCATGTGGTCGTGTCGGGCATTTCGAGTCGCGTGCGATTCTTTAACAATGACGGGTCGTTTCACAATTCGACAGCGATGTCAGCGCGTTTCACGCTGACCAATAATAAATACAGTACAAGTCGCCGAAAGCCGATTCGCATTTGGGACACAACACAGTTTATGTTGTTTTTGGGTGTCACAAAGTGATTGAGACACAAGTGTCCCCACAGGAATGTACCCTAAGTGGGGATGGATACACAACCCATTCACTCATCTTGACCTGCCACCCACACATCCACTTCCTCCCCGTCATAGCGGCCTGCTACCCACCACTCATCACTATCGTCGCTCCACTCCTCCGCATCTCTTATCACTGCATTTGCCACATCATCCTCTTGATCCGATGGGGTTTCAGCCTCATCCCTCTCACAGTGGTAACCTGCAACTATAGCCAATGAGAAGGAGGACAGGCCAGAGTTTAGGGTGGTGTGCCTGTCGCGATCCATAATCTCATCCGCAGAGCAAGGCAGGTCAGGGCAGGGGTAGGGCATGCCTGGAGGGGGGAAGGGAGAAGGGCGGAGCGGGGCATGACAGGGGAGAACCATGGCAGGGCAGGGCAGGGCATGGCATGGCATGGCATGTCGCGGAAGGAGCAGACCAGGGCGGGGCAGGCCATGACAAAGCAGGGCATGCATGGCCCCTCTAGTCATGGCATGGCATGCATAGAGGGTGCAGACAATGGCGGGGCGGGGCAGGACAGGGCAGGACATGGCATTGCAGGGCAGGACAGGGCAGGACAGGGCAGGGCAGGACAGGGCAGGGCACAGAAGTTCAGGGCAGGGCAGGACAGGGCAGGGCAGAGCAGGGCAGGACAGGGCAGGTGAGTGGGCAGGACAGGGCAGGGCAGGGCAGGGCTGGGCAACTCCTGGTGTGGCATGGCCTGTTTAGAGGGCAGAGGGAAAGGCGGTGCGGGGCAGGACAGGGAGGGGCATGGCATGGCATGCTTAGGGGTAGCAAACAAGGGCAGGACAGGGCAGGGCAGGGCAGGGAAGGGCATGACAGGGCAAGCCAGGGCATGACAGGGCAGGGCAGGGCATCTCCTGGTATAGCATGGCATGTTTAGATGGTTGCTGGTGCCTTGGGACAGCACAGGTGCGTGCATTGTGGTGACAGGAGGCCCAAGGCAGCAGCAACATTGGTTGCTGCTACCTTAGGGACAGCACAGGTGCGTACATTGTGGTGACAGCAAGCCCAAGGGAGCAGCAACATTGGTGCTGTTGCCTTGGGACAGCACAGGTGCGTGCATTGTGGTGACAGCAGGCCCAAGGCAGCAGCAACATTGGTTGCTGCTGCGTTGGGACAGCACAGGTGCGTGCATTGTGGTGACAGCAGGCCCAAGGCAGCATCAACATTGGTTGCTGCTGCAATGGGCCAGCACAGTTGCTAGCATAGTGGTGACAGCATGCCCAAGGCAGCAGCAACCGTTGTTGACGGTTGCTGCTGCCTTTGCCTTGTGACATGTGAGCGTGATAGGACCCCCAAGGCAGCAGCAACCGTTGTTGAAGGTTGTTGCTGCCTTTTCCTTGTGACATGTGAGCGTGATAGGGCCCTCAATGCAGCACTAACCATTGTTGAAGGTTGCTGCTGCCTTTGCCTCGTGACACATGAGTGTGATAGGACCCCCAAGGCAGCAGCACCCGGTGTTGATGGTTGCTGCTGCCTTTGCCTCGTGAAACGTGAGCGTGATAGGACCCCCAAGGCAGCAGCGACCATTGTCGCTGTACTGTAGTCGAATAGCAGGGAATAGGGCACTCACCTGGGCTCTCCTCTCGAGCGACCCGCAGGGGCGTGTGCTGCCCCTTGCTCCCCATCAGTACACAGTATTTGCCTTAGTTGTGCGCGCGGTGGTCGTAGCCCGGTCACCTGGAGCGCGCGCTTCTCGTCGCCTGGAATGCGGGCCACGCGTCGCCTGGAACGCGGGCTCCGCGTCGCCTGGAAGGAGGGCTCCGCGTCGACTGGAAGGCGGGCTCCGATCCGCCTGAAATGCGGGATCCGCGTCGCGAGGAATGCGGGCTCCGCGTCGCGAGGAATGCGGGCTCCGCGTCGCACAGAACGCGAGCACCTAAATGCGACGAGCGGGTGCTGCTCGGCGCTTGGTGTGAGAGCCGAATCTCCGCCGGTTTCTTCCCCCCTGGCTAGACACAACGACTCCAATACACTGCCGGTTTCTTGTTTGTGCCTAGTTAACCGTAGTCTCCAGTCTGTCGTCACGGACTTTTTCCCGTACAAGCGTCCGTGCTTGCACGTTCCTACACTTTGCTGTTGCCAGCTCCTGCGATAGTCGGTAAGCTAGTAATCTGGGGTAAGGATCGTCTCGAACAAGTTTCTGTTGTGGCGTTTAGTAGGTGGCGTTGATACCCAGCACGTGCGTTGCTTGCTCTGTTTTTTTTATTTCCCGTTAGCATCAAGCTTATTCAGTGGTGAGGAGACTTCGAGTGAGCCACACTTTCCATGCTCGATGCAAGAGAGGAGGTGTGCGACACATTTGTCGCTTTGGGTTGGTGGGATTCGCGGGTTTGGTGAGTGCGAAATGTTCACCTGTTAGCGGAGGATACTTGTTCTCGCCAAAGGCAGCCAACCGAAATAAGTTTCGCCATTCTCGCATACAGCCTATTTCAAGTCCACATAACTTGATAATTTACCATGCTGACCCCGGGCTTTAACAATATCCACGGAGCATTTAGGGCGTGTCCAGCGCGTACATTTTGGGAATATTAGTACCTTCACACGTTTCCCGGTTCAAAAAATCTCACTGTACCAAAAAACGAATATAAGGTGAGTCGAGTCTGAAGGATTGGGCCTTCCAGCGCGCGGACACAACCCTCTGCACACAAATTTCTACAGTTCGTGGAAAAAGAGGTAACTGGTTGCCTCGTCTATCATCGCACAGAAATTCACGCACAAGCGAAAATTCCACGCTTGAACGAAAATTACTGTAGCGGGCAGGACGCAATGCTGTACCCTTGTTCGCGCGCACACTGATTCCAGTAACGTGTGTTAGACGATTCGTCGTACGCGCAGCGGGCGTGCCGTCTTGTGAACGGAAGCTGATCGTGTCCAACCTTTTTGTAAAATGCAGTGTTACAATAGGAAATGTGGTAACTGAATGGGTTTATGAACTGTAAATGTACGCGCTGGACACGCCCTTAGAGACGGTTGAAACCTTGTCTTCCAGTAGAAGTCCTCAAAACCTAGGTCTTGCATTACATAGTCTCGAAGCACTAGAATCAAACTAGGTTGTCAAACTGATAAATCTCCTGGTTTTGTCTTCCAGTAGAAGGCCTTGAAACCTAGGCCTTGCATTTCTTCTAGTCGCCAAGCACTCTAGAATCATACGAAGTTGTCAACCCGTTATTCCACGCTGAATCTCCTGATCCCGAGCCATGACGTCAGCTCCTACTCAAGATAGGTTCATTATTGGACAGCGAGTAGCTCTTAAGGAGCCGGAAAAGGGTCACCGCTATGCGCCACGTGGCACCGTGCGATACGTCGGACCCGTGCACGGTTACAAGGGCGAGTGGGTTGGCGTAGAGTGGGACGATTCTTCGCGAGGAAAGCATGACGGAGTGGTAACCGGAAAGCGTTACTTCCAGTGCGAAATGGTCCCTGCTGGCACGCCGGCCGGATCGTTTGTGCGACCGCAAAAGCTGACTGGAGGGGTCACTCTGCGTGATGCATTGCTGGACCGCTATAGCACAAGCGGGGATGACTATAAAGGTGCGACAAGTACCATTTCTCGCATAGGCCGACAGCAAGTCCCATTTCCCGCATCCAGTCTCGTTGGCAATTCACAAGCCTGATTCCAAAGGTGGGGATCCATCTAACATAGTCAGTGTCCCTTTCTCACATAGCATGTGCATCTTTTCCTGTCTTCTATCGATCCACTCTACAGCGGAGCCCATTTACAGGGCTCTAGGTCGGCGAAGAGCCATGGTGATCGAATTCGTCTCTGCTCCAGAGAATAAGAGTGGAGCAGATAGGGCTGGAGAAGCAACCAATACAGCCGTGCCGGGGAATGATAGGGAAGCATCTGGAGGAGGGGGGGGATCAGCAGGCGGAGAAAAAGGGACGGAAGGACCAATAAGATTGGGGGAGAAGGAAGGGGGAAAGGCAGAGGAGGAGGAAAGCCAAGAGAATAGAGACGCTGGATCAGGGGAAGGAAGAGTGAGGGAATTTGAGGGAGAGAGGACTCAGGGTGAATCCATGGGAATGGATGAGGGCGTATTGAGCGGAAGAGAAGGCCAGGAAGAGGGCAAGGGCGAGACATCCAAGAGAAACGGGCTGTGGTTGTCTCGACTTCAGGCTGCAAACGTGTCGGAAGTTCCTGTGGGCTCCGTTGGAGCTGCGGGGGAGGTGGCAGCTATCGCATGTGAGTGTGTGTTGCTTGTCCCTTCTGCACGCAGTGGCTGATGCGTGTTTCGAGGCGTACTGTTTGTGGATACTTGCCATTTCCTCCTACCCAGAGTGCATGCGTGATTTGAGAGTTTATAGCATGTGCTGCCTTCATTTTACTCCGCCGACAGCTCTCTTGATATCTCATTACCTCCTCAGGTCAATACTGAGAGAGGGCCACCTTGCATGTGCTGCGGCCATTCAACCGTCTCAGTGCTCTCTTCTCTTTGCTTCTCTTCTCTTCCTCTGCATCCGTCTCCCCCAGCCCTGACAGAGCTCGACATGTCATACCACCTACTCAACACCTGGCACGAGGTGCAGAGGGTAGGAGAGGATCTGCCAGGCCTCACAGCCCTCGACATCGGCCATTCCAGACTCTCCTTCCCTTCGCCTGTTGGGTCCTCTCCTCCTCCTCCTCCTGTTGGATTCTCCTCCTTTCCGCCTCCTGCTGCGCCCTCTGTTTCCCCGATGGCTGGGCTGAGGAAGCTTGGGCTGAGCAGCACACGGGTCACATGGCCCCAGGTACGTGAAGCACGGCTGAGGGTCTTCCCTTTCTTCTTCCAGCCCCATTTCCCTTCCAGAATTCTTTCCTAAACTCCTCCTCAAACTGCTTCCCAATCTCCTTGCTTCAACTCCACATCCAGGTGGAGGAACTTTCGCGGCAGCTTCCTCTCCTCGAGACCCTGGTTCTTATCAAGAACGAGATTTCAGAACTGCGACCCAGCTGTGGTGCCGATGCCGGTCGTGCTCCTCTGGCCTGCCTTCAGGTGAGAAAAAAGTGAAGGTTCGTGGCTAGAAGAGGTGATTTCGAGTCTACTTAAAATTCTCTCTGAGACTCTGGTCTCAGGAGCTGTGCCGTCGCTTTGTTCCGGTCTCTCCTTGCAACGGTCCATCGCTGTAGCATCCTGCATGCCCCTCCTCTACAACTGCTCCTCTCCACTCCTTCCTATCCCCGCTCACAGCACCTGACCTACCTGGACCTATCTGACAATCGCATTGCTGACTGGGCTCAAGTCTCCTTCCTCTCAGCCTTACCCTCGTGAGTGCTACTGCTGCCACCTCTGTCTCATGCTGCTGGTGCTTGTGTTGCTTACACGTCTTCTTGCTACTGCTGCGGCTCATGGCTGGGATTCCGCACCAGCACGAGCCTTCTTATATATTCTCCTGTATTCCTTGCTCGTTCCGCTCATTCCTGCTGTACGGGTTTTGAAGCCTTTGCTGTTCGCTCGCTCATTCTCCCTTGTGTCCTCATGCCGTTCCTCCCTGCTCTGTGAGCAGCTTGAAGTGGCTGCTGCTATCAGGAAATAGGATCTCCAACATCCCAGGAAATTATGGCAAAGCTGCACACACCTCTACCGTTCATAACCTGCACCACCTTTCATTAGGTACGCACTTGTGCAAGTCTCTCAAAAGTCACTCCTCCCAATGAATTTAATTGATGAATCCGGATCAAGCGCGTTACCTAAAATGCTACCTGTGTGCGTACTCCTCCCTTCTCACCCCATTCCCAACTCAGCTGACAACAACATATGTGAATGGGCGTCCATTGATGCCCTGACTCTCACATGCCCCACCCTCAAGGTATGGTGATGTGGTTCCGAACCTCAAGGTATGGTGATGTGGTTCCGAACCTCAAGGTATGGTGATGTGGTTACGAACCTCAAGGTATGGTGATGTGGTTACGAACCTCAACGTATTGTGGTAACCTTAATGCACGGTGGTTGGTTGCGAAACTCAATCCACGGTGTCTCTCCCACAAGACTTCGGATTTCTCCATTTCACCTTGAAGCTCTCTGATAATGTTGAATCAGTCATGCTTCTACCTGCTCTTTCTCTACTTTGAGGCGCCTCTTCTTATGTTTCTCTCCTCATTTGTGCTTCCCACATCTCTCCCTTGTTCTACTCTCTTCCCAGGAGCTCGTTCTCTCCCACAAGCCTTATGTGCCCAGGTTGCCTTCCGTCAATCAAAGGCCAGCCTCAACCAATGCTCCACCTTCCCCTCTGCCCTTCTCTTCTCTTCATCGCTCCCCTCTTTTTGCACATCCCAATGTACTCTCTTTCCAGGAGCTCGTTCTCTCCCACAAGCCTTATGTGCCCAGATTGCCTTCAGCCAATCAAAGGCCAGCCTCAACCATTGATCCAGCCAATGGCAACGCGACACTTGGCAATGGGACAAAGGGCGGAGAGGCGTCAAATGGGAGTCTGACACCTGACAGTGGCGGTGCTGCTGCTACTGCTGCTGATGGGGAGGAGGGTGGGAGGGTGGAGAGGTGTGAGTTTGGGTTTGGGGTGACGGAGGAGGGGAGGATGGGAGTGATTGCGAGAATGCAGTCGATTCAGAAGCTCAACTGTGTTCAGGTGATCCTATAGACATCTCACAATGATCATAGGTGTTTGGGTTTGGGTTCGGGTTTGGGGCAACAGAGGAGGGGCGGATGGGAGTGATTGCACGGATGGGGTTGATCCAGAAGCTCAACCGTGTTCAGGTGAGCATCTACGCATGTCAGACTAACCATGTGTGTTTTGAGTCGACTCATCTGCTCATTCATCTGCATTTCAACCCATAAGATCTTGCCCAGGAAGTGCTTGGATGCAGAGATATGGTACATCTGCCACGCCATCCTAACAGAAACTATATGTGTGTGTTTCCACGCGTGTATGCATGCATGTACCAATGCATTATCAACACATCAGATCCTACTGAGAGAGCGCTTGGATGCAGAGATATGGTACATCTGCCGTGCCGTGCACTCACTCATCCGCATCTATCCGTGCATCTGCATGTCTCCATGTTATAACACATCAGATCCTTCCCAGGGAGCGGCTGGATGCAGAGATATGGTATATCTGCCACGCCATCTCAACAGAGTGTGTTTGTTTTTCAGTGCTCATACCCATGCATCCGTCTCTACATCCATGCACCCCTGCGATCAGATCCTTCCCAGGGAGCGCTTGGATGCAGAGATATGGTACATCTGCCACGCCATCCGCTCGCTCCCCCACGCCACATCCCTCCCTCAACTCGTCTCCGCGGGCCACCCCGCCCTGCCTGCTCTTCTGGCCAAGCACGGCCTCGACTTGGTATCAGAGCGAAGGAAGCTCCTCCCAGGCCTCCATACCAACGCCTCTGCAGCTGCTGCCTCTGCTCCTGATGCTACCAGTGCTGCAAGTGCTGCTGGTGCTTCCGGTGCTTCCGGTGCTTCAGGTGCTGGCAGTGCAGGTGGTGCTGGCAGCAATGCTGGTGCAGGCTCCAATCGCACCCCCAGTGGCTCTTCTTTCCTCAGTAAGCCGTCAGAACCCTTTCAGCTTCCCCCCTTACCAGTTCATCGTTCCTGCTTCCGGTGCTGGCAGTGCAGGTAGTTGTGGCAGCAATTCTGCTGCAGGACTTTCCTCAGTAAGCCGTCAGGACTTTTTCTTAGCATCCCCATCACCCCCCCCTCTATCTGTTCCTGCTTGTACCACTGTCAGTACAGCAATCTAGTTCCGGAGACTGGTAACCTTGACCACGGTCCGTGCCCTGCCGCAGCAGCTCATCATTCCTCATTAAGCCTTTAGGCCCCTCCTCTTATCAACCCCCCCTACTCCCTGTCCTCTTTCCCCTCTCTCCTTTCTTCCTTTCAAACCTTTTTGGTGTCTTTTCCATCAACCCCTCCTGTGCATCGTTGTTCTGAGCCTACTCATAAGTATTTGCATTCCTTCCCATCAACCCTCCCCTTGCTCGATTGTTCCTTCCATTTCAGGCATCACATTCCTCATCAATCCTCTCCTGCCGACCCTTGCTCTGGCAAGGAGTAGCAGCTCTCCTTCCCATCAACCCTCCCCTTGCTCGATTGTTCCTTCCATTTCAGGCATCACATTCCGGGTGCTTGGTGGCACGGCAAAGGAAGTCACCAAGAAGCTTCCTCAGTCCACGACAGTAAGTGCTGGCTCGCATGCACTCTGTTCTTTCGACCAGTTGCTTTTATTTTGAATAAAACAACTTTCGACTCATTCTCTTTTAGCCCATAAACTTGCTGGCGCTGGGGCAGCATCCCAGGTTCATTGCAGCCCACCATATTCCCTCAGCTGCTGCCATTGGCTGCCATTGCCATTCACACACACTCCTCACCCTGAAGCAGCATATACACATCCGAGTTGCGTGGGTCTAGCTGCATGGTCTAGGTGTCCAAAACGACATTTGCCTCGACTCAATATCCATGCTTATTCTTCCATTATCTGGAGCTGCATTTCGTGCTCATACGTGCCTAAAAAATCGGCCCCTCCATATACTGGAGCTATATTTCATGCTCATGTGCGCATCTGAACTGGGGGAGGGAGGTCACAAGTTTCCAAAACTGCACTCGCTCCATCCGTGCATCTGGACGGCCCCTTTTCTCAGGTGTTAAAAATGCGGCCCCTTATTGCGCGACTGCTCAAGCTGGAACCTGGCACCTTCTCCCTCTTCCTCCTGCCGTCCACCCTTGAAGGCGTTCAGGTAGGGAGGGAGGGAATAATGAAAGGGCTTGGAGGGTTTCAATTTAGAGCTTGCACTCACAGGCTTGCAAGATTACGGATCTCTAGGCCTCTCCCCTCACTCCTGCTAGACGATACCATGCCTTTGGGAGTGCTGGTGCATTCTGCTACCACAGCTGCCTTGGGTGCTTCTTGAATGCTTCACAAACTGCTATTCTTATAAAGATTCTTTGTTGCTTCATGTTCTTCTTTCTCCGTACAGCCTCTCCCCTCACTCCTACTGGATGATACAATGCCGTTGGGGGTGCTATTGCATTCTACTACCACAGCTGCTTTGAATGCTTCGCAAGCGACCATCCTTGTCGATACCTCCCTGGTGAGTACATGATGTATTCTCTGGGGTACCGCTACACCTATACTTCATTCACCAGTACCTTCAGCGACATCGATGATAATGCTTCGTTGACAAGTTTGAAAAAAACACCCCCCGACCTTCCCCACCCCCCCCCCCCCCCCCCCCCCCCATTTTTTTCATATCATATTATATTTTACAGGATTTTCAGCATGCAGCATTGCTTTCAGTACCTCAGGTTTTGGCTTGTGAGCAACGGTTACTAAAATTGCAGGAGAAAGCGTGATTCTTGCATTAGCTCCATTTAATACTGTTCATTGAACTAGTTAGTAAGTTATGCTGATTGTATTTATTCATATCCTCGACGCTTCATCCAACACGATACAGTTATACTCCCCGCTAAGAACACGCTGCATCATCCAAGCTTTTCCCGCCTCTTTCAACCTTCAGAAGTGTTTGTCTGACAAACATTCGGTCAACAACCGAAGCCGTCCGTTCTCCTTTCTGCGCATTGTTCACCCTCGATTATCCAAACTTGATACTCCGCGGCACGGTGTCCCCTAGAAGTTGTCACCCAGCTCGCGAGTCATGACACATCCCTACCAAATCCCAAGGCTCTCTGAGCACTTTCGTTTTCTATTTTACTTATATTGCTTATCTTGTGAATCTTCGTTCTACTTTTCCTCCCCTTTGCCTCAACTGCTTCTCCTTAGCTGTCTCCGAGGTGGAATTCTGTTGAGCTCTTGCTTTCCAGCACCGCGCTTCTCTTACAGTATCTCGTCTAGCACACAAGAACCATGAACTGTTCGCGGCGACCGTTTTGCACGTTCGACTCCTCCAATCTGGCCTCTCGAGAGAGAATCTCTTGCTAGTCCATACTCTTCGAACAGGCTTTTTCATCCCTCAATTGCCCGTACTTTCTCTACCGTACGCTTGTTGACTTACGGCAAAAAAAATCCACGTGTCGATTCTTGTATGGCCGACGATTTGCGTAGAGTAAGCAATATGGAACCCAGTCGACTCGTTGGCCAATCGGAGTGCAGAAGCAAGCACCACCCAGCACGTGACCGGCATCAACGGCGCTCGCTATTAGCTCTTTCGGCTCGCCCCAGCGAACGCGCTAGCCATGCCACGTGTACGAGAAGTCGATCGACCGAGCACCGCCAACAATATCGCGAAGCATCCATCGCGTCCTACCATAGAGCGTCATGTCGTAGAGAGTCCTGCGATAGAGCCTCCGTGGGTCCTACAACGGCGTGTCGCGGCTCTTCCTCAGCGAAGGCTTCGCCGCGTCGGCCTCGACCGCCGAGGTTTCTCAAATACCCCTGGTTCAAACACATTCCGGTACGGGTTCGTCTGGCTGTCTGCCTGCGAGGTGATTTTGAGGCACCTCAAGAACTTGTCGGTCTCACCCGCCGGAAGTTCTCAAATACCCGCGGTTTGGTCGGTATTTTGTGCGGGTTCGTCTAGCTGCAAGTTGCGTGGCATACCGCAGCAGCTTCAGCAGCCGCGCAGCATCACCATCGGCGGCACTCCACCAGCGCCGCCGCCAGCGCCGCCGCCAGCACCATCGCCGGGGACCGGCATCAGCAGAGAAGTGAAGAATTTGCGGGGAGAAGAAGGGGCGCGCGCACTTGGCGGATCGTTGAAGGGCGTTCGTCAAGCTTGAGCGCTTCAGCTTGGCGACACATTTGAGCGTGGAGGCGTTAAGAAGGCTCTCATTGCTCCACTGGACTGCTCTGGACCGCCCTGTTCCGCCCTGGGCCGCTCTGTTTCAGCACGCCAGCCTGCAGGGTGACGTGCTTGCTGCGAGGAGAAGTTGTGAGCCGACCCAGTAGTCGCCTTGGAACTCACCTGATAAGTCACCTGGCTGCACGGGACTGCTCCGTTCCACTACTACACCAAGCTGTAGCTGCAGGGTCGTGTGCGTGTTGCGAGGCGACGAAGGCGTGAAAGTTGGCGCTGCTGCGAGGGAGATCCGAGGGTTGCCGCGTGTGTATGGACTCCATTCCGGAATTCGACGAGGAGATTGAGATGATTGGGAGCGAGGAGGAGCGCCGGGTGGCTGTGGCGATGGGCGGGGGGAAAGGCTCTGCGGGGATGGGCGGAGGGGGAGGCGCTGCGGGGATGGGCGGAGGGGGAGGCGCTGCGGGGATGGGGGGCGGAGGGGGCGCTTTGGGGATGGGGGCGGATGGACTGGGGAAGTTGAAGGGGAAGATGAGTCCGAATGATGAGGAGGCGGCGTATAGGGCAACGTATGGGTCGCAGTTTGATGCTGAGAATGATGCTTCTGATAGTGGCTCCAGTGCCAACGGCTCAGATGCTTCTGGTGATGCGGCTGGTTCGATCGAACGGAGGAGGAACGGCAGGGGTGACTGGCGCGGTGGCAACAGCGGAAACAGCAGGAACAGCCGTGGGAATGACACTGCTGGCGGCAACAGCGGCGGCGGCAGCGGCGGCGGAGGCGGCGGCGGGAACAGCGGTAACGGCAGCAATGGCAGGGGCAGCATCAGGAGGCACGGGAGGAGGGAGCAGCAGCGGAGCAGGCGTGCAGCAGAGATAAGTGAAGTCCCGATCCCCGAGGACTATGAGGAGGAAGGGGTTGTGCCAACCCACGAGGAAATTGCTTCTACTGGGGGGACCCCTCTGGGACTGAACCCTGGAGGGGTGGCTCCTCCGGTAATGGCTCCTTCGGAAATGGCTCCTCAGGGAAATCCTCGACTGCAGCAGCAGAGGACGGTGTGGGAGTTTCGCTCAGGTACTGCTCCTGCTGCTGCCGCCACTGCCGCCGCTGCGGCAGCGGCCACTGCTGCTGCGAATGGTACTGCTCGTGGTGGTGGGAGCTCCAGAAATCATCGCTCCAATCCAGATTCTGCTGCTCGTGGTAATGCCACCACTCGTGGTGGTGGTGCTGCTGCTGTTGCCGCTGCCGCTGCTGCCGCTGCTGCTGCTGCCAGCGCCCACCCCACCGCTGCAACCGTTCCCAACCCTGCCATCTCCCCTGCTGCTCCTCCTTCTGCCCCACCAGCCTCTCTCCCTTCCCCGCCTCTCCCCTCCTCACCCCCCTTCCCCGCCCCCCTCGCCCCCAACGTCTCCCCCGCCTCCCCCACTCTCTGGTACACCTCCCTCTCTCCCATCCTCCCTGGTCCCCCCGATGGAACCCCCCAGAACCGCTCTAAACCCCGCAGCACCCCGTCCTCCTCCCCTTCCGACTCTACCTTCAGCACCCTCACTACGGGTAGCAAACCCAACTCCTCTCCTGTTCCCTCCTCCTCGTCCCCCTCTTCCTCCACCTCTCCTCCCCCTGCTTCCATAGCCTCTTCCGCCCCTGGGGGCGGGCTCTGCCCCGGGATAGACGGCGGGATATGCAACTTGCGCATGTCGTCCCGCACACACTTTCTTCTCATGCGCTTCATCTCGCTTTTCACCGTGCTGTCCGGCCTCGGATACCTCTCCTGGAAATGCTTCATGGTGGGGCGGAACATCAAGCAAGCCGGCCCCGCCTGCCTGCTCTTCCTCTCCACCGAAATCCTCGTCTTCCTTTCCTCCTTCATGCTAGTCGTTGAGTTGTCTAAGCCAGCGAAAGAGAGGAAGGCGCTGAGTCTCCCGCCCTCGGGCCCGTTTCCGAGGGTTGCTATCCTCATCTGCTGCTGCAGCGAGAAGATAGATGTGATTCAGGACACGGTTAAAGGGGCTATGAATCAGAATTACCCCGGAGAGAGGTACTCGGTGTGGGTCCTGGACGATGGGGGGGATGATGAACTTAAAGCCTGGGTTGAAGCAGAGGCCATGGAGGGGTGGAGCGGAGGAGGTGGAGGAGGAGGGGAAGTGGCGGGAGTGGAGGTGGGGCAGGATCAGAGCGAGCAGAGTCAGCTGCAGCGGCAGCAGCAGCTGATGGTGCTGCAACAGCAGCAGGGCCGGCGGCTGTTCTACCTTCGTCGCCCCAAGAAAAAGGGTGTTCCTCACCACTTCAAAGCAGGGAACATCAACTACGGGCTGCACTTCGCCTGTGGGGAATTTGTCGCGGTTTTGGATGCGGATATGATTCCCTCGCCCTTCTTTCTGTCGGCGCTGCTGCCGCACATTGTCGGGGAGGAGAAGGGGGACGTGGCGTTTGTGCAGTGCCCGCAGTCGTTTTACAACATCGTCAAGGGGGATCCTCTGAACGACTCCTCACAGGATTTCTACGACGTTCTCCTGCCCTACAGGTGTGTGTTTTTTAGTCGGTGTGTTAGTCGGTGTGTTAGTTAGTCGGTGTGTTAGTCGGTGTGTTAGTTAGTCGGTGTGTTAGTCGGTGTGTTAGTCGGTGTGTTTAGTCGGTGATGTGACATGATGTTTGTGCAGAGACCCCAGTTGTTTCGCATGTGGGGAATTCGTCGCCTCCCACCTGCAAGCAGTGAAGTTTACGAGACGTCTTTTCCTGGATCCCATTCCCCATTGCCCCTCTCCCTACCTCCCCATTCCCCCTTCCGCAGAGACGGCCGTGACCCCGCACAGTGCGTGGGAACGGGAGTCATTTTCCGCGCCGCCCACCTGCAAGCGATTGGGTTGTGACACACACGTCTCACTACTCGACCCTTCTTCTTAATCTTTCCCTCTTCCCCCTTTTTCTTCCCCAGAGATGGTCGTGACAGTGCCCAGTGCGTGGGCACAGGAGTCATTTTTCGTGCTGCCCACCTGCAAGCGATTGGCGGGTTCACAGTTGGGTCGATCACAGAGGATTTCGACACGGCCATGACGCTGCATGCCAAGGGGTACAAGACGGCCTATGTCAACCAGGTGAGTTGGAAAAACGCCTGTAGACTCTCATAAGCAAGGCAGGGCAGGGCACATTCAAGGCATAGAACAGGGGAGTATCTCTCCCGCCTTCCACCTGCAAGCAATCGGCAGGTTCACAGTGGGGTCGATCACAGAGGATTTCGACACGGCATGACGCTGCATGCCAAGGGGTACAAGACGGCATACGTCAACCAGGTGAGGTGGGGGAGTAATGCTCCTAGATGCTTGAAACCTCTTGTCACTGCAGAGGCTATAACAACACTCCTTCCCTCTTCCCTCTGCTCATTCCCTCGTGTGGAAGACTGTAGCAGCGCCTGCAAGCAGGTCTGGCCCCATCCCATGCAGTCCGGAGGGGTACTGGTATGGTACTGGTATGGTACTGGTATGGTACTGGTATGGTACTGGTATGGTACTGGTATGGTACTTGTATGGTACTGGTATGGTACTGGTATGGTACTGGTATGGTACTGGTATGGTACTGGTATGGTACTGGTATGGTACTGGTATGGTACTGGTATGGTACTGGTATGGTACTGGTATGGTACTGCTGCAGGTCAAGCAGCACCAGCAGTGGGTGGGTGGGCCACTGGCAGGCGACACACCCACCCCGTCATTCGCACTCCTGCCCGTCCCTCCTGCATTTGACCAACAGCGTCTTTCCTTGTCTTTGCCCCCTCACAACAGCGCCTGCAAGCAGGTCTGGCGCCGTGGAGCCTCGAGGGGTACATCAAGCAGCACCAGCGGTGGGCGGGCCACAGGCAGCATGCAGACTTCAAGCACACTCTCATCTCCACTCCCCTCTGTGTGTGACAATACAACAGCGCCTGCAAGCAGGTCTAGCCCCGTGGAGTCTGGAGGGGTACATAAAGCAGCACCAGCGGTGGGCCACAGGCAGCCTGCAGATCCTGTTACACCGTAACCCGCTTCTGCTCCGCGCGCCCAAGTTCAGCCTCTACCGCCGGATCTCCTACTGGTATGCTGGTAAGTACCTTCCTCAGGCCCTTCCTCCCCCCTTGCTTGCTGGTGTGCTGGTAAGTACCTTGGGCCCTTCTTCCTCACCAGAGGTGGGCCACAGGCAGCCATCCTGTTACACTGTAACCCGCTTCTCTTACGCGCTCCCAAGTTCAGCTTGTATCGGCGGATCTCCTACTGGTACGCTGGCAAGTGCCTCATGCCCTGAGCCCTTTCTTGTGCTATGCGCGCCCAAGTTCAGCCTCTACTGCCGGATCTCCTACTGATACCCGAATGTGATGGTTCTTATAGATTTCATCTGCCTCTCTAACCATGTGTTGTGACGTCTGCAATCACACTCCTTTTGAGGCGCCTCAAAACTCGAGTGTGATGGTTCTCATAGTTTTCATCTGCCTCTCTAACCATGTATTGTGACGTCCGCAAACACACTCCTTCATCCCACCCTCACCGCTCCCCCCACACCAGGCGTACAGTACTATCTCAACGTGATTGTCATCATGATCCTCGCATGCCTTTCTTTCAGGATATTATCGAGAAAAAACTCTCCTCCCCCAACCCCCTTCCCTACCCTCCAGGCGTACAGTACTACCTGAACGTGATTGTCATCATGATCCTCGTCCTACCTGTCCTCATCCTGGCCCTCGATCTCCGCATCATGCCGCCCGGTCCCATCTTCGAAACCACCCGCCTCTACATCATCCTCCTCGTCCCCTACGTGTTCACCTCTCGCCTCCTCTGCCTCGGCCTCTTCTCCCGCCTTCCCAACGGCATGATGGTTCAGCTACGGGGAGAGCAGGTTTGGTACTGGATGTCTTTTTTCAACTGCATGGCGATCCTCCGGTTTTTTTTCCCGTTCATTTCGAAGAAATTTGAGGCCACGGGCAGCACGAAGAAAAAGGCGCCGGCGGTGTGGGAGAGGCTGATGACTGTGTGGTTCCACGTGGGGTTCTGTGTCGCGGGGGTTGGTGCGGTGGCATGGCGATTCGCTACAGTGGACTTTCATGACTGCGGAATGGTATGTGGAAGGAAGCTAGGATGACTGGTTCATTCTATGTGCTTGGTTGATTTCCTAGCTTGATTTCTCTCTTGGTGGCCTCCTTTGTCTGGGTGTGTTCTTTGTGTTCCTCTTGTTTTCATAAGGTCATCATTGATATATTGTTACGTCTCCTTTCTATTCCGTCCCTTTCTCACTCCCCTTTCTATTCCCCTCCCATTTGCATCTATTGCAGCTTCTTAAGGTCACCTCCTGGGCTCCCTTCATCCTCTTCTCAGTGCAAAGCATGCTCGTGCCGATAATCCACGTCATAATGTCCCCAACACATCCTAAGGTGGAGGAGCGAAGGAAGTACCTCAATTATGATGAGTATGGGGTGCCATATCTGAGGCCTGAGCAGCTGCTGCCGAAGCGCGATTATCGCATCTTGCTTTTCAACGTCATCCCTGCCATCTGGGCGGTGACCATAGGATTTTATTTCTATGCGGCGATCACCAATTTCAGACCTGGGTTCTGCACTAAGAGCGGGTTCTTCGGGTATCCTAGGTTCTAGATAGCTTCCATAACTTGCCTTCATGATCTGTACGTGCTAGTTTCATTGTATGTGGTGTAGACCACATCAATAAAGATCACGTGAAGCAACATTTTACAGTTGACTCAAACGAGGTGTCGCATCTAAATGTCGGCTTGACTGTTCCTCACCGACCTCGCATCCACCGCTTTCTCGAGTCGGGTATGTCCTGGTTGTGTGACGGGTCATCAATCGAGTTCGTCCGTGTTCCAGAAACCAACGGCTTGGATGGCCCCCTCCCTTAAGACGGTTCAGCAACGAGACGAGGGCGAAACAACGAAAAGCCCAGCCGAAATCGAAACGAAAATCCACCGAGAAGGAAGCCAGAGAGAGGATATTGCACAGCAACACAGATACAACCATCCAATCTTTCGCTTTCTCTTCGCCGACCCCTCGTTACTCAACCCCGCATCTGCTCCTTGCTGGGTAAATTAGGGGCTATTCTCCTCCGACCTGTCGTCAATCTTTTCCGCCCCACCACGCGTATCTACTGCGACTCGACTGAATGCCACCTAACTTGGTCCACAAATCGCTATGCTGCGCACTAGCTGACGCGACGAGGTGAAACTTGTCGGTGCTGCTGCTGTCGCTATGTATTGTAGTGGGTAGCGCAGGCCACTGTTCACAGCCAGGTGTTATCCTCCCTACACCTACCACCAGTCCACTCCACTCCACTTCACTCAGCCCCCCCTCTGACGAACGGGCAGGTCTATCTAGCACATGATTTATGATGCGCCTAGAAAAGCACAGATTCAGACGAGCTTCACCCCAAGCTAGTTCCGGTTGCCGGTTAAATTGGGAAAACTCCAGTTAAGTACGAGCAGGAAAGTGCCACAGTTAGTTCTTGCATTTGTCACGAACCCGCTTTTGTTCGACGGATCTTTCCCTATCCTAGTACACCTTCGCACACGTTCTGGTCGACTCCGGAACACATTCGATACAGGTGTACAGCTTTTCGACACTAGACGACATATGTTCGTTTTGCGAGCCTGCGCGGCGCGAGCTTGCGTAGTCGCGGCATGGCGGTGGGTCGCTCCCTACTAGCGCGAACAAGCGGCGTGCATCACGTAACCCTGATCCAACACTTCGATATAAGGAAACTACTTACGAGCGCCTTAATCGCGTCCTTACTTTGCGCCGCGTGCTGCGCTGACACGGACGGCGCGTGGGCCACTCGCAGCACGACACGAGTAGGGAACGGCGGTAGACGGCTCGCGACGGCGCCGGCGAATGGGGTAACCAGCTTCCAACCGACGCAGGCGACAGTGTGCAATTTCTCCCGCGCTGGGCAGTGGCTTTCGCGAAACAAGGCTCCCTACGGCGCCGATTGCCCTTTCCTCAAGGTATGACTTGCGCCCATGCCGCGAAATATGCGCGAGTGCCGCTGAATTCGCGCGCATGACGGAATCTGCGCCCATGCCTCGGAATTTGCGCCCATGCTGCGGTAGCGCCGACCTCACACATTCTGCCCGAAGCACGTCCCTTACAGCTCCCGCTTGTTGCTTTGCCCTCCCTTTTTACCCACCCACACACCCCCCACCCCCGCCCCCCAATTCCCCCCCACAGCCCCCACCAAATTATCCCCCCGACCCCCTCTCTTCATTCGCCCCGTCTCCTACCCCTCACACGATTGTGTGGTCTGCATTTCAACAGAATGTGGGCCCAGTGAACCGCATCATCAAGCCCAGGAATCATCAACCCCTGCATCACCCCCCAACCCCCACACCCCCCACCCCCCTCACCATCCCCCACGATTGAATGGTCTGCCTCTCTCTCAACAGAATGTGGGACCCGTGAACTGCATCATCAAGCCCAGGAACCGTCCCAAGAACTGGCTGGTGAGAAATGGGTTGGGTACGGTGGGGCTGGGTACTGGCTGGTTTGTTCCATTTTGCAATGTCCGAGCTTGCTTTTGCATCTTCTCCAGTAAAGAGGTTTTGAGTCGACAGAACAACCTGCCCAGGCGGGGAAACCATTCTGACAGGACAGCTGGGTGGTTTGGACAGGGGTGCCTTTCAACCGTCCAACCGCCCTCAACCCCCTTCTCCTTCTCCCTTTCCCCCCTACCGCCGATATCCCCTCCCCCAGAACTATCGCTACAGGCCGAAGAACTGCGGGCAGCCATGGTTCTCGTTCACCCCTCTGGCCTTCCTGCAGCGAATGAGCAACAGGTGAGGGGAGTTGAGTCGCCTAGAATGCATGGCAGGTGGTGGTGAGGTTGGGGGGCGGGCGGGGGTGTGGGGGGGAGGCCGGAGAAGAGAAGGTAAGGGTTGCGGGTAACTAAGGGCAATTTAGTATACACTGATGGACGTCTGAATGTAACATGACTTACACCTGTCAGAAGTTATTTTATTTTATTTTTTCCTCTCTCTTATCTGGCAGGGTGTTTGCTTCAGTGGGGGACTCTCTCTCAGTCAGCAATCTCATGCCGTCGCTGCTCTGTCAGGTGAGTAGCCATTACTGTTGTTTCCTTTTTGTCACTTCTTTTACTCACAAAATTAATGGTAGAATGCGTTTTTCGCTTTGCTGTTGTTGGTGCATATGCAGCACGAACTCGCCTCTCCCTCACGTTCCCCCTCCCCACCTTTGTTTCTCTGTCTCTTTTAGTAGCCCCTTGCCTCATTATTAATCTCCTTTTCTGCGCTTACAGCACTTCTTCGTTTTTGTTTATATTTCTATTCTTTATGCAGCTACACCAAGTCTCTCCTGTGACGGAGATTCCTAACGACGGCACATACGCAGCGCAAAGCCCGCTCACCAAAGTGTACCAAGTCAAAGCATACAACGTTACATTAATCAACACATGGAGCACTTTTCTCAACGAGTACTGGCAAGACGAACAGGTGAGCAGATTTTTTAATCCCGTTCGTAAGCCAAAACACTCCTCCAACCGAAGTCAGCTAACCACTGTTCCTACCAACTTATCCCGAACAATTTATTCCCTTTTTATCCCTATGCCCTCCCTTTTCTCCTCCTTTCCTTCCCAGACAAGGCAAACAGTACATCGGAGGTGTAGCTTGGGTGTGAGGCGCCTCACCCCACCACCTTACTCTTACGCTCCCTCTTTTGCTCTCTCTCCTTCCCAGACGGTCCAGCAGTACACCGGAGGCGTTCAGCAGTACAACAGCGTTCAGTGGTGAACCTAGACGGGCTCGATGCACAGTGGGCGATTGTGGGAATATTCTGTGTCAACCTACCATACCCATTCCATACCCCTATGCACCCATCACCCTCTCTCTCCTTCCCAGACTGTCCAGCAGTACAATGGAGGCGTTGCCTTAACCGACGAGGACTCTGTGGTGAACCTAGATGGGCTCGATGCACAGTGGGCGATTGTGGGAAGTCACAAGCTGAATGCTGCCACACACCCTATGCCCCCTTCCCCTCTTTTGTTCTCTCCCTCCTTCCCAGACGGTTCAACAATACAATGGAGGCGTTGCCTTAACGGACGAGGATTCAGTGGTGAACCTAGACGGGCTTGATGCGCAGTGGGCGGCTTATATCGAGCGCTACGACGTGCTTATATTGCAGACGCAGGCGCACTGGCAGGCCACCAAGTATAAGTGGCGTCGTTTCTGGGTGAACAGCACTGGGGATCAAATCTTCAACGAGTCGAGATTCATGGCTGCTTTTGAGTAAGTGTGGTGCTTGGCGGAAGGAGATGATGTGGGTCAATCTCCCCCTTTGCTTCACACAGTGCAGAGCTTCATTTGTTTCGTTTCTTTTCTTTGTCTCGTGCCTGGTCACGTCCTGACTAAGTGTCGTTACTTTCCAGGTATGGCATGGAAGCAATCAAGAACCTTCTCGACCAACCAGAGGCGCCGGTCACTTATTTTATTTCTGCCCCGGCGAGATTGGATGGATGCATGGCGCTGAAGGCACCGCATACAGATGCGCAGGTATTCCACAATGTTATGGTACATTGTCGTGCATCATGGGTGCAACATACTCATTCCTATACGTATTTAGCATTTGGGATGCATTTGAATGTTTTTGCTTTCTCCCTCTCATGAGCACATGCAGGTGGCAACTATTCGCAAGAATAATCGTCAGTTTGTTGCTTGGTTGCCACTACAACTAAAGGCATTCAACGGCACGAGGATACGAGTGATAGACGTTACAACATCGTCCCTCTATAGGCCTGATGCCTTCGTTGGATCAGGGGGAGTGAATAAGGATTGCTTACACTGGTGTCTACCAGGCGTTCCCGATTGGTGGGTTGCAATGGTCAATCACTTTTTGGCCAATGAGCCCACGTTGGCAGCATAGTTTGTGGTCCTTAATAATCAAGCAAAATGCGTTTGTTGTTATGTAAGTTACAACGTGCATGGTAATTTGATTCAATACACTCCTAGCATAAGTTGAAACGAGGAAAATGTACTGTTTGCGCGTCGCACTGTTTTCATCGTCGCTGGTCAACCTCGCGCCGTCGTGCGACCGAAGCGCCCCTTGCCAACCCGAGAAAATCGGAAAGCAAAAGCTGCTTGACGATCGCATGTGCGTCGTTTTCCCCCTTTCTCCCCAATTCGCCACCCATGCGACGCTTTTTCTTGTGGTCACCGTAGCTTGCGGGCAAGGCAAAGCCAGAACCTGATGGTCGTAGGCCAATCGCTCGTCGCTATATCCTCGGTCAGTGCAAAAAGGCTGTCTCAGCAGCTGTAACTTCTGCTCCATCTAATCAGGTCGGAACTGCTCTTGATAGTCAACCTGCACATTATCTCCAGTCAGAAACTCACTGTCTCGTCGCGCGTCGCGTGGTAACTGCTCGTCCGACCGTCTCAGCTCGCAAATAGTACTAAACTGTTATCGTATTCGACCGAACAACTTTTAAATCCCCTCAACAGACCGTCTCAGGTCGCAAATGGAACTAAACCGTTTACGTCGTTGACTGAACAATGCCGGTCGACCTTACTACGAGATTGCGATATTTCCGGATGTTTGTCACCGAGTAAACCGATACGAACGTGAATGGCGACATCTCG